GCTATCTCGCTGATATTCCTTGAATTCTGTTGGCTGAGTACAAGAAACCACCTATTTACCTATTTCAACTACCCAGTACAGTGGACCCCTGACATTCGATGTTAATCCATTCCTGAGAGCTCATCGAATATCAAAAATATCGAAAGTCGAATTAATTTTCCCCATAAGAAATAATGGAAATCAAATTAATCCGTGCAAGACACCCAAAAGTATGAAAAAAAAATTTTACTACATGAAATATTAAGTTTAATGCAATAGAATAATTACAATAACAACAATAACAATAGATTAATAACAACAGAATAATTGACACTTACCTTTAATGAAGATCTGGTGATGATTGATGGGATGGGAGGAGGGGAGAGTGTGGATGATGTTAGTGTTTAGAAGGGTAATCCCCTTAAATAGTTGCAGGCAATTTCTTTACCAAATCATCATGCAACTGCCTAGCCTTTTCACAAATGATCGCTTGAGAGATGCTATCTCCTGCTATCTATTTTTCATTTATCCACACCAATAACAGTCTCTCAACATCTTCTAACACTAGCGATCTCTGTTTCGAAAACAAAGTTGCACCTTTTGCAACAACAGCTTCCTTGATTGCCGTTTTCCTGCTCACTATAGTAGAGATAGTTGATTGGGGTTTACCATACAACCTGGCCAGCTCCGATACACGCACTCCACTTTACTTTCTTACTTTGCAATTATCTCTTTCTTCATTTCAATAGTCATTTGCACGTTTTTTCTCGAAGGGTTGGCACTAGAAGCTTTCTTGGGGCCCATGGTTACTTATTGTGCAGAAACAAGCACCAAAAACAGTGATAATATGGATAATATGGAATGTACCGAATGTATCCTTAGATGCTTGCACACTGGCTGGCTTGTAAACAATGGCACACACGGGGCAGTTCAGGCCACACGTGGACACGTCTCGTACGAATCGTATCGAATATCGGGTTTTCGATCGAATGCCGAGGCGAAATTTTTGCGTTAAAATACATCAAATGTTGGATTTATCAAATGTTGATGATGCCATCGAATGTCGGGGGCCCACTGTAATCAGAAATCGGTAATTTGGCCAATTTCACACAAATTTCAAGAGATGCCAATTTCAAAATAGGGTCCAGAATAAACACTGCAGACATTTCTGGCACTAAACTAACATTTTCTCTGTTCATAGTCACGTCTCCAGGCCCCTCTCATACGTATTATGTTTGATTTCCATTCTGAATTTTTATTCACACAAAAAATAGATTTACAGTTATTCAGACTACTGCACAATTGCAATACAGTGGACCCCCGAGTTTCTTGAGCCTCGAGCTCTGTGAATTTCGACTTTCGGCAACTTTTTTCATCAAAATAAAGCCTCGTGGTTCATGATTTGCCTTGTGATTCGTTTGTCATATGGAACGCATCCGTGTGGCCAGAATCAGCAGGGCGTACACAAAGCCTCCCACACAACATTCAGGAGCCAGTGTGGCAGTGTTTGTGGGCGAGTGACTATCACTCTAGGTGTTCATACGATACATTTCGTAATAATCCATTGTTTTTTGTGCTTGGAACTGCTAAATAAGCCACCATAGGTCCAAAGAAAGCTCCTAGTGCCAGCCCTTTGGTAAAGAAGGTGAGAAATACAATAGAATTAAAGAAAAAGTTTGTAGAAAAATATGAAAGTGGTGGTGGAGGAGGGTGGTAGTGGGTGTGATGGTAGTAGAGGGTGGTAGTGATGGTGGTAGAGAGTGGTAACAGTTGTGATGGTGGAAGAGGGTGGTAGATATGGTGGTAGAGGGTGGTAGAGATGGTGGTAGACAGTAGTAGTGATGGTGGTAGAGGGTGGTAGTGATGGCAGTAGAGGGTGGTAGTGGTTGTGATGGTGGTAGAGGGTGGTAGTGATGGTGGTAGAGGGTGGTAGTGATTGTTATAGAGGGTAGAGCTGCAAGAGTTCTCTTCATGGAAGGGGATTCCCCTTTATGGAAGGAGATTCCCCTTTATGGAAGGAGATTCCCCTTTATGGAAGAGGATTCCACTTCCAAACAATAGTGTAACTTCTCCATCCTCTCCCCTCCTCCAGTCTTCCATACACCAACGAGTCTTCAATAAAGGTAAGTGTGATGTTATTATTGTTTTATTCTTGATTTCTCATTCTTTTCTGTATGTAAATCTATATTTAATCTACAAAACAATCATTGTTAATACTTTTGGGTGTCTGGAACACATTAATTGGATTTACATTATTTCTTATGGGGAAAAATGGTTTTAAGTTAGCGAATTCCGACTTTCGGCAGACTCTCTGGAGTGGATTAATCACGAAACTCGGGGATCCACTGCAATTATATAAACAATGTCAAGCCATTCGTGACTGCATATCAGACTGGCCAGTTGGACACATATTGGACGGTGACATTTGTTCACTCTGCAAAAAATCAAACATTTCTGCTCTTTGACTTCAATTTCAAGTTACTTTTCATAGTGAAACCAATCATCTCTGATGATCCACCAGGCCTCCTGGTGGATCAGAGCCTGATCAACCAGGCTGTTACTGCTGGCTGCACACAATCCAACGTACGAGCCACAGCCCGGCTGGTCAGGAACCGACTTTAGGTGCTTGTCCAGTGCCAGCTTGAAGACTGCCAGGGGTCTGTTGGTAATCCCCCTTATGTGTGCTGGGAGGCAGTTGAACAGTCTCAGGCCCCTGACACTTACTGTATGGTCTCTTAACATGCTAGTGACACCCCTGCTTTTCATTGGGGGATGTTGCATCGTCTGCCGAGTCTTTTGCTTTCGTTGTGAGTGATTTTCATGTGCAAATTCGGTACTAGTCCCTCTAGGATTTTCCAGGTGTATATAATCATGTATCTCTCCCGCCTGCATTCCAGGGAATACAGGTTTAGGAACTTCAAGCGCTCCCAGTAATTGAGGTGTTTTATCTCTGTTATGCGGGCCGTGAAGGTTCTCTGTACACATTCTAGGTCAGCAATTTCACCTGCCTTGAAAGGTGCTGTTAGTGTGCAGCAATATTCCAGCCTAGATAGAACAAGCGACCTGAAGAGTGTCATCATGGGTTTGGCATCTCTAGTTTTGAAGGTTCTCATTATCCATCCTGTCATTTTTCTAGCAGATGCGATTGATACAATGTTATGGTCCTTGAAGGTGAGATCCTCCGACATGATCACTCCCAGGTCTTTGACGTTGGTTTTTCACCCTATTTTGTGGCCAGAATTTATTTTGTACTCTGAAGTTTTAATTTCCTCATGTTTACCATATCGGAGTAACTGAAATTTCTCATCGTTGAACGTCATATTGTTTTCTGCAGCCCACTGAAAGATTTGGTTGATTTCCGCCTGTAGCCTTGCAGTGTGTGCAATGGAAGACACTGCCATGCAGATTCGGGTGTCATCTGCAAAGGAAGACACGGTGCTGTGGTTGACATCCTTGTCTATGTCAGATATGAGGATGAGAAACAAGATGGGAGCAAGTACTGTGCCTTGTGGAACAGAGCTGTTCACCATAGCCGCCTCAGACTTTACTCTGTTGACTACTACTCTTTGTGTTCTGTTTGTGAGGAAATTATAGATCCATCTACCAACTTTTCCTGTTATTCCTTTAGCACGCATTTTGTGCGCTATTACGCCATGGTCACACTTGTCGAAGGCTTTTGCAAAGCCTGTATATATTACATCTGCATTCTTTTTGTCTTCTAGTGCATCTAGGACCTTGTCGTAGTGATCCAGTAGTTGGGACAGACAGGAGCGACCTGCTCTAAACCCATGTTGCCCTGGATTGTGTAATTGATGGGTATCTAGATGGGTGGTGATCTTGCTTCTTAGGACCCTTTCAAAGATTTTTATGAAATGGGATGTTAGTGGTATCAGTCTGTAGTTCTTTGCTATTGCTTTGCTGCCCCCTTCATGGAGTGGGGCTATGTCTGTTGCTTTTAGTAACTGTGGGACGACCCCCGTGTCCATGCTCCCTCTCCATAGGATGTTAAAAGCACGTGATAGGGGCTTCTTGCAGTTCTTGATGAACACGGAGTTCCATGAGTCTGGCCCTGGGGCAGAGTGCATGGGCATGTCATTTATCGCCTGTTCGAAGTCATTTGGCGTCAGGATAACATCAGATAGGCTTGTGTTTACCAAATTCTGTGGGTCTCTCATAAAAAATTCATTTAGATCTTCAACTCTCAGTCTGGTTAGCAGCTTGCTAAAAACTGAGTCATATTGGGACTTGAGTAGCTCACTCATTTCCTGCTGTCATCTGTGTAGGACCCATCTTGTTTAAGTAGGGGCCCAATACTGGATGTTGTTCTCAACTTTAATTTGGCATAAGAAAAGAAATACTTTGGGTTTCTTTCAATTTCATTTATGACTTTTAGTTCTTCCAGTGATTCCTGACTCCTATAAGATTCCTTTAGCTTAAGTTTGATGTTTGCTATTTCTCTGACCAGTGTCTCCCTACGCATTTCAGATATATTGGTCTCTTTTAGCCGCTCTGTTATTCTTTTCCGTCGCCTGTAAAGGGAGCGCCTGTCTCTTTCTATTTTACATCTACTCCTCCTTTTTCTTAAAGGAATAAGCCTTGAGCATACATCGAGTGCCACCGAGTTAATCTGTTCTAGGCATAAGTTGGGGTCTGTGTTGCTTAGTATATCTTCCCAGCTTATATTATTATTATTATTATTATTATTATTATTATTATTATTAATTGATATCAGCAGACGTCTGATAAGACAGTCACTGAACAAATGATGGAGAATGTATTTTCTTTTTTTCCCCGGGGGTCACCCTACCTTGAATCAAACAGCCACATTGATTTTTTTATTATTATTATTAACACATCGGCCATTTCCCTGCAAGGCAGGGTGAACCAAAAAAGAAGAAACACTTTCATCATCACCCACTCCATCACTGTCTTGCCAGAGGCATGATTATATTTGTTATGTTGGCTGGAAAACAAATCAGCGCAAACTTGACAGAAAATCATGACAAGCGTCGCACACCCACCTCAAAGGAACGGTCGTGTTTGACAGCCCAGATGCAAGCGGCAATGGACACAATGGAGATGAGGATGAGTGGAGCGAAGACTGACACCCAGGCGTGGCGATGATTTTCCAGGTTGTCAGCTGCCAGCACCTCAAACATCAGCAGAAACAAGTGAAGACCCAAAGAGATGAGCAGTGCTCGGTACTGTATGTACGACTGCCCCTCTAACCTACAATAATAATAATAATAATCATAATTTCCATGGGGAAGTGGAAGAAATTCTTCCTGTGTAAGCTATGCATGTCATAAGAGGCAACTAAAATGCCCGGAGCAAAGGGCTAGTAACCCATTCTCCTGTATAAATTACTAATTGTAAAAAGAAAAAAAATAGTTTTTCTTTTTGGGTCACCCTACCTCAGTGGGAGACAGCCAATGCTATAGAACATCATAATAATAATAATAATAATAATAATAATAATAATAATAATAATAATAATAATAATAATAATAATAATAATAATAATAAATCACAAAAATTGGTGGGTTTTGAACCCCACTCATTCCCTGATTTGTTTACAAATCATGTTATTGCAATTTCATAACAATATTTATTTTTACAAGAACATAAAATAACTCATATAGATCTTACTGACATCACTGACATATTACATAGAAAGTCCCTGGTTATGTAGAGCATTTATGGCAACTTAGGATTATCTTCTCCCCAGGATGCCACCCACAACAGTCGACTAACATCCAGGTACCTATTTACTTCAATGTGCATAGGACATATAGGAAAATACTTGTTAGAAAATAGAGTAGTGGATGAGTGGGACAGTCCGCCTAGTAGGGTCACTGAAGGTAAACGTTGGGTAGCTTCAAGTATAGGTTACGTAAATACATGAGTGAGAGGAGTTGGATTTGAGTGGACTTATACAACATGATTTTCAATTCAATTCAATTCAATTCAAAGTTTATTCTCTATAAGGATTACAATGCTGAGTTTACAGAAATTTGGTTATTGTTTGATTTACATGTAGTAAAATTGTGATTACAGAGTGTACCACTAGAACGCTTAGCATGGCTAGGCATTTCGGGCATACTTAGTTTTATTCTTAATCGTAAAATATTACAAATTATGAGGTAAGTTGGTATTATGGCTAAGTGACTAAATACTAGTTTGTGAGTTTAGCAATGTGAATGCTTTTGTTTTGGCACAGTATATAGTTTCAGTATTGGAGTATCACAGGATTCATTATTTTTAAGACTGAGATTAATTATTTAATAGGGTTATCAAAGATTATTCCTTGGGCAGTGCACTCAGCTCACATACTGAGGTCCAGGGAGGAGGTAGATCTTTTGTATGGCTGGAAACATTAAGATGTGTTTCCATAAGACAAATGATGTCCATGTTCACCAGTAAAATCAGTACCTGGGTGTTAGTCAACTGGTGTGCGTTCCATCCTGGGATAAAACTGACCTAATTTGTGGGAAATGCTCAGCATAACAAGTGGTTTTGTATATAGTAGTATGTCAATGATGTCATCTAGGCTTGTACAAGTACTTGTAGAAAATAAAGATATGGATTTTTATTAACATTACAGTGGACCCCCGGATAACGATCAGCTCCCAACTCGACCAATTATGTAAGTTTATTTTTGTAAGTGCTTTTGTAGGTGTATTTTTAGGGGTCTGAAATGGACTTATCTAATTCACAATATTTCTTATGGGAACAAATTCGGTCTATAACGGCACCCAAACAGACTTCTGGATTAAAATAATATCGTTATGCGGGGGTCCACTGTATTATTAACAAACAAGGCTTTACAGCAGTAGCCCAGAACCTAGCCTATTATACAAATGCTTGAACTAAGACAGCCCTTGATAAAAATGAATATCCACTGGGGCTCTTCACTGACCTACGGAAACCATTCAATACAGTAGACCACAATCTCCTGCACCTAAAACTAAACCATTACAGCATCAGAGGACATTCCCTCGGTTACCTAAACTCTTAACAATAGACACCAGTATGCATGTGCAAATGGAGTCAACTCTACTACCCAGCCTGTAGCTGTCGGAGTGCCCCAGGGTAGTGCCCTAGGCCCACTCCTCTTTCTCATCTACATTAATGATCTCCCCACTGCATCTCAACTCCTTAAACCAGTTCTATTTGCAGACAATACTACTTATGACTACTCTCACTCAAACCCAGCTTTACCTAGACACAATATACACAATGAGCTGCTAAAAATATATACAGCCTCTCCTCACTTAATGATGGAGTTCCGTTCCTAAGACCACATCGGTAAACAAATTCGCCGCTAAGTGAGGAGCATACTATGATGGTATACTTAGTTTGTGTCAACCATCTCTGATACTGTTTTAATGTCACCAATGTACCATTTATAACATTTCTGGTATATTTTTAAATGTTTATACAGTAGTGTACTATATATTGTATTAAACAGAACAGACGTATGCATACTGGTCAGAGAGCCCGTCGTAAATACGAGTCATTGGTAAATGAGTACGTTGCTAAGTAAGGAGAGGCTGTACTTGGGTGATGACCAACAAACTCACTCTCAATATAGACAAAACATACTTCATGCTGTTTGGAAACAGAGCCTTAAATATCCAACTTAATACAGTATATAGATAAATGGTTCCCCCATTACAAGACACACTGAGGGTAAATTTCTAGGTCTTCACCTTGATTGTAATTTTAAATTTCATTCCCATGCCCAGCATATATCTAAGAAAATTTCCAAATCAGCAGGCATCCTTTCCAAGATATGGTACCATGCACCCCAAACGACACTCCTTACCCTATACAGTGGACCCCCGGTTATTGGCCATAATCCATTCCAGAAGGTCGGCCAATAACCGAAATGGTCAAAAATTGAATTAATATTTCCCATAAGAATTAATGGAAATACAATTAATTCGTTCCAGACAAAAATATTCACAAAAAAGCAATTTTTTTTACAATTATGTAAGTAGTATTACATACCTTTATTGAAGGCTAATACTGGCTTCTGGAAGATAGGGAGGAGGAAAGAGGGAGGAGTTAGTGTTTGGAAGGGGAATCCCCTCCATGAAGACTTTAGGTAGCAAATCCTTCTCTGGGGTTACTTCTCTTCTTTGTCTTTTCATGCCACTAGGACCAGCTTGAGAGTCACTGGACCCCTGTCTCACAAAATAACTGCCCAGAGTGCTCTGTTTCTGGCATCTCTTTAAGATTTCCCTGAAGTGGGACAGGGTTTTGTCACTAAACATGTTGCAGATATGGCTTGTTTCAGCTTTGTCAGGGTGGTGTTTCTCTATAAAAGCTTGCACCCTGGTCCACATTGTACACACCTCTTTAATCTCTGAAGAAGACACCTCCTTCACTCCCTCTTCCTCCTCCTCTGAACCAAGTTCCTCAGCTACAGTCTGTTGCTGTTCAAGTTGAAGCTCTTGGAACTCTTCAGTGGTAAGCTCTTCAGTGTGGTCCTCCACCAACTCTTCCACATCCTCGCCACTCACCTCCAACTCCAGGGACTTCCCCAGTGCCACAATAGAGTCCACAAGGTTGGCAGGGTCAAGGTCACGGTGAGTCTCAAACCCTTCAAAATCCCTCTCTTGGACACAATCTGGCCACAATTTTCTCCAAGCAGAGTTCAAAGTCCTGGAAATCACTCCCTCCCAAGCCTTACCTATAAGGCTTATGCAATGGAGGATAGTGAAGTGATTCCTCCAGAACTGTCTTCGGGTCAACTGAATGTCCGAGGTCACTTCAAAGCACTTTTGAAATGCTTCTCTTGTGTAGAGTTTTTTGAAGTTAGAAATGACCTGCTGGTCCATGGGGGAGAGGAGTGGTGTTAGGAGGCAAGAACTTCACTTTCATAAAACTGAAGTCCCTAAACACTTGGTGTTCCAAGTCTGGAGGATGTGCAGGAGCACTGTCCAGTAACAGGAGGCACTTGAGTGACAATTTCTTTTCCAGGAGGTATTTTTCACACTTGGGCCAAACACATTATTAACCCTCTCTTTGAAAATTTGCCTTGTGATCCATGCCTTATGATTAGCTTTCCACATCACACACAAGCTATTCTTCATGACATTGTTTTTCTTGAATACTCTGGGATTTTCTGAGTGATACACCAGTAAAAGCTTCACTTTGAAATCCCCACTAGCATTACCACACAGCAAAAGAGTAAGCCTGTCTTTCATAGGCTTGTGTCCTGGCAGTACCTTTTCCTCCTGGGTAATGTAGGTCCTGTTTGGCATTTTCTTCCAAAACAAGACTGTTTCGTCACAATTGAAAACATGTTGGGGTTCGAATCCTTCAGCCTTTACATAGTCCTGGAATTCGTGAACATACTTTTCAGCCGCACATTTGTCAGAACTTGCATCCTCACCATGCCTTACAACACTGTATGCCACTATGCTTCTTAAGTCTATCAAACCATCCTTTACTGGCCATAAATTCACAAACTGCAGCACTTGTTCCAGGCATTTTCTTTGCAAGATCCTCATGCAACTGCTTTGCCTTCTCACAAATGACAGACTCCACAACACTGTCTCCCACTAATTATTTTTCCTTAATCCACAATAATAATAATAACTTTTCCATCTCTTCCATTATTGGTGGCTTTTGTTTAGTTAGAAAAGTTACTCCTTTTGTAACATTAGCATCTTTGATTTGTTCTTTCTTTGCCAGGATGGATGTAATTGTTGATTTATTCTTGCTGTACATCCTGGCAAGTTCCATCACCCTCATACCACTCTCAAACTTTTCTATCACTACACGCTTAAATTCCATGGTGTTTCTCACCATGGAATTTGAGCCATGGGTACTTATTTCACAGTTGCACTGCAAAAAAAAAAAAACACTAAAAACAATGGAAAACAAGTGAAATGTTTGGATGTATGAGCAGAAGCTTCCTCAGCCACCAAGAGACAAAGCCAAACTGATGCACAAGGATGGATGCATCCCAAACGGCTGATAATCGAATTAACGGCCAATAACAGGGTGCTGAAAAACCGGCCAATAACCGAGCTGGTTAGTAACAACTGGCCGATAACCGGGGGTCCACTGTATTATATTATATGACCTCAAGTCTATTAAAACATCTGCCGATCCTTAAAATATTACTGCTTGAACCATTAATTGTAATATTGTTTTTATTATGTACAACTTAAGAATACAGTGGACCCCCGGTTAACGATATTTTTTCACTCCAGAAGTATGTTCAGGTGCCAGTACTGACCGAATTTATTCCCATAAGGAATATTGTGAAGTAGATTAGTCCATTTCAGACCCCCAAACATACATGTACAAATGCACTTACATAAATACACTTACATAATTGGTCGCATTCGGAGGTAATCGTTATGCGGGGGTCCACTGTATTCTCATAAACCTCAACCTTGACTACCTCACATTAGTATTAAGATAAAATCAAGATTTATTAAAAAGTTAACCATTATTATCTACTCAAGACTTAAGTAGTTATTATGTACTAGGATAAGTCTGTCCGAAATGCCTCAGCATGATAGTACCTTTCTTTGTACAGTGGAACCTCAAATTTCGAACGTATAACTATTAGAACTCTTCGAAAATTTATCACTTTTTTCGAACCAACTTTGTCCCTATTATCGAATTCGCCCCTATTTTCGAACCACTGGGTACCGGACCTGTCTGCCAGCCTGCTCTGTCCGCGTCCCAATGCAGGCGCCATGAGCCAGTCTGGCTTTGTTGATGCTTTAGTGAACACTAACCTGCACTCTCATTCAAACATTTTACGGTTAATTCACTGTGTTTAGTGCTTGTGGGACTGTGAAATATGCTACCATGGGCCCAAAGAAACTTGCTAGTGGTACCCCTGTGGTAAAGAAAGTGAGAAACACCATAGATGTGAAGAAGGAAATAATACAGAAGTATGTGAGTGGTCTGAAACTTGTTGAGCTTGCCAGGATGTATGGGAAAAACAAGTCGACCATCGCTTCTATCCTTTGCTACCTAAAGTCCTTATGGAGGGAGATTCCCCTTCCAAACACTAACCCCAACTCCCTCTCTCCTCCTCCTTATCTACCAGATACCATCACCAATCTTCAGTAGAGGTAAGTAAAAATGTTATTTTATATGTTTATTTAAATTTATTAATACATAATTGAACACTATATTTGTTGTGTGTATGTAAAGCTATAATTAATCTCTATAAAATGTATTTTTTTGTGAATACTTTTGGGTTTCTGGAACGGATTAATTGTATTTCCATTATTTCTTATGGGAAATATTGCTTTGCTTTTCAAACTTTTCGAATTTAGAACTAACTCCACTGTACTTAACCCTTAAACTGTCCAAATGTAGATCTACGTTCACTGGCGTAGCGCTCTGAATGTAGATCCACGTTTTTTTTACATGCTTTCTTATGGAGAAAATCAAAGTCAGAGTACTACACCTGAAAACATAGATCTACGTTTGGACAGTTCAAGGGTTAACAAATCAAAATTGTAATTACACATTGTAGCCTTAGCAAAGAAATAAGATCTTTAATCTTTTTTTTTTAATCTTTTTATCCTGTTGTATAAGCAGGGCCCTACAACAGCTCAGAACCTAACCTACTGTATAAACAGGGCCCTACAGTAGCTCGGAACTTAACCTGCTGTATGAGTGGGGCCCTACAGTAGCCCAGAACCTACCCTGTTGTATAAGCGGGGCCCCTACAGTAGCCCGGAACCTAACTTGCTGAATAAGTGGGGCCCTACAGTAGCCCGGAACATAACCTGTTGAATATGGGGGGCCCTACAGTAGCCCAGAACCTAGCCAGTTGAATAACCAAGCCCTAAAGTAGCCCAGAACCCAACCTGCTGAATAAGCAGGGTCCTACAGTAGCCCAGAACCTTACCTGTTGAATAAGCGCAGCCCTAGAGTAGCCTGTTACCTAAGCTGTTGAATAAGCGGGGCCCTACAGTACCCCAGAACCTTACCTGCAGAATAAGTGGGGCCCTACAGTAGCCCAGATATTCTCAAATGAAATCATCATTACATTCAAGAAAAGCACTAAACCTACAGGGGTCAATCAGGAAGTACACCAGAATCGAAGAAGGTGCCTGACCACCAGCATAAGTTTCCTTAGGCAGAGCTAATGTATCTGGTACATGTATTATACAGTGCCAACAAAGGATTATCATGTACGTGCCTTAAAGTTCTGAAAATATCACAGGTTATACCATCCTCTCCAGGAGCAGTTGATTGACGTTTTGTTAATGTATTATCTAATTCATACTCAGCCACACATAAGTACAATTATCATACATAGTAATACATGCAAAATAACCACTGTGAAAAAGTGGTGAATTTCCAAACGCTTCCATGATTTCTCACATCACGAAAACACTTGGAAATTCACCATTTTTTTTTCACAGTGGTTATTTTGTATAGTATTGTGATATCACCTGTTTACTGTGATCTTATTACATATGTGTAAATTACCTACCAGGATAACCCAAAAAAGTTACACGCAGTCACTTATTACATAAAATATTTTCCGTAATCCATTATAATTATCATTATCATCATCATAATTGCCATTATTATTATTATTATTATTATTATTATTATTATTATTATTATTGAAACAGTACAAAAATAACCCATATATAGGAGAAACTAATGACAACATTTTAGACCAGCTTTGACCATTAGTCACTAATTAATGCTCCAAGTCGGACTGAAAAGTCATTGTAAATTTATTTTTCTTATGTGTGGGTTATTTGTGTATTATAATCATTATCATTACTATTACTATTACCTGTAGTGAGGATTCTTCCACCACACAATATTACCGATGAGCGCCCCCACCACCACCAGCGCCTTCCACACCCATATAGGTGAGAACACCAGCCAGTAACTCCAGTCCAGTTCATCGTCCAGACGCAGCGCCAGCAGTGCAGTGAAGGTGGCCAGGCACACCCACACGATGAACTTCCTGCAAGGCTCAGAATTGTCACATCTTCAGATAGTGGTCAACTAGCAGGAGGTATTGCTATCTACTACTAGTATGAACACACTGGGGACCTCCTGAATTGTGTTCATAGCAGGAAATCTTCAACTTATGAACACACTGGGAGCCTTCTGTGTTGTGTATAATAAGGTCCCCAATGTGATCATAAGTTGAAGACTTCCTGTATTATGAATATTATATACAATTCAGGAGGACCCCAATATGTTCAAAAGTTGGGGACTTACTATGATGAATTAGAAAGTTAGGAAGAGAGATGTGAAGCAGTGTAGTTCTAGACTTGAGAGAAGATGGTTGCCAGTCATTCTTAAGTAGGAATAATGGCCGTTTGAATTTTCAAAAATTCTTTAGGAAAACTAAAAGTTACAGCAATGGTCACATAAGTAAAAATGTCTTATAAAAGGCCAATCTATACCATACTAGAAGCACATCCAAATTCCCCAATTTTAATGACAAACATAAAATGGACAAAGGTTTGTGTTTCACAACTTACCCAGGATTAAAGTCACGAAACATTGATTGTAGATTCATTTCTCACTTGCGCATCATTTTCCCATCACTTCCCGGTCTCAGAGTGTTTATAACATCGTCTCTCATTTTTTCGGGAATTCCATTTTCCTGTGGCGTCAATAATGTCGTTGTATCTGCGACACACTTGGTCTTTACAAAGGGACTACCACAGCAAGTTCATTCATGATAACTGTGCTCTCTCACCTGAGCTAATACCACTTGCATAAATGAATGCTTTCTTTTGAAGTGTTCTAAGAATGTTTTCCTAAAATGTGGTACTTAAGTTTAATTTGTAAGGTTCTATATCAACTCTCTTTAAGGCAGAAAATTTTCTCACTGTCTCTCTCACTGATAAACTCAGCAATTCACTTAATGATCACACAACAAAACAAACATTCTTATTAACTAAAGTAAGTTCACAAGATTAGAAAACTTCCATGGAGTAAAAATTCTATACATACACATATGTACATGTACACCTACCATCCGACTTACGACCGAGTTCGGTTCTGAGAAACCGGTCGTAAGTCGAAATGGTCGTAAGTCGAAATGGTTGTAAGTCGAACTTTACTACTGAATATCAACAAGACATTTTTGTAATGAATTTATTTTATTGTTTTATTTTGGTATTTCATGTTTTACTTTACTTTTTATGCTGTTAGTACTGTATTTTATACTGTAAGGTTTAGGATAAACACTGTGTACAACACAAATAGTTGTTTATTTCCCAGAAATTTGGCATAAAAAACACAGTCGTAAGTCGAGTGGTCGTAAGTCGAGCAGGTCGTAAGTCGGCTGGTAGGTGTATATGAATTTTCTGTAAGTTCATATGAGACATTAATTTAAATAAGTTAGTTTTAAGTTTGCCCAAAATGCTTTGCATATAAAGGGGCTTTTGGCATGTACACCCAACTATTATATTCCTTTGTAAAACATGTACGTATAATGTTGAAATAAAATATTATGATTATTATTATTATTAACCACCTCAGCCCAGTAGGGACACAGTATGCCTCTCCACTCCCTTCACAAACAGCAGCAACCCCAATTTGAGGTAAGAAATGTTATTTCTGTTGCATTTATAGCAATAGAAAAAACATAATACATAATAACTATGAACACAAATTTACATTATCATTTTTAGTTTTGTAAGATTTCTAGACTTACAAAATAATTGTTTGGCTTTTTTGAGGGCCCCAGGAACGTAACCCTATTTTTCCTATAAATTCTTCAGTTCCTTTAACACGGATTTGTCATGCACTGCTTTTTCGTGAACGTAACTACCATGGCAATTACAGCTTTTGTAAATACAATTAAAACAGAGCATCAGAAATTGAATACCACCTGAAAAAGCCTTCATAATAACTGCTATTCGATTTTGCATGGACTGTTAATCGCATTTGCAAAAAATCACACCATGGACAGGTCCCTCGTAACACAGATTTACGTAGCGTACAGATACTCCTCATTTAACGACCCAACTATTTAACCCTTAAACTGTCCAAACAGATCTTCATTCACATGCGTAGTGCTCCAAAAGTAGATCTACGTTTTTTACATATTTTCATATACAGTGGACCCCCGGTTAACGATATTTTTTCACTCCAGAAGTATGTTCAGGTGCCAGTACTGACCGAATTTGTTCCCATAAGGAATATTGTGAAGTAGATTAGTCCATTTCAGACCCCCAAACATACACGTACAAACGCACTTACATAAATACACTTACATAATTGGTCACATTCGGAGGTAATCGTTATGCAGGGGTCCACTGTATAACAAAAAAAAAAGGTAGATGAAAGTTTTTTACACGTTTTCAAATGTAAAAAAAAAAAAAGAAGATATACGCTTTTTTTACAAACTTTCAAATGCTGAAAAAACATAGATCTATGTTTGGACAGTTTAAGGGTTAACAACCACTCTGAGTTATGGCCTACTCTCCAACCAGTGTACAGCCTCTCCTTACTTAACAACGGAGTTCCGTTCCTAAGACCACATCGGTAAACGAATTCATCACTAAGTGAGGAGCATACTATAATGGTTTGTGTCGACCATCTTTGATATTGTTTTAACGCCACCTTTGTATCATTTATAACATTTTTAAATGTTTATACAGCAGTGTACTGTATATTGTAATAAACAGAATTTAGGAAATCAGCTCTAATATACATTATTTAGGTATGCATACTGGCCAGAGCGCCCATTGTAAGTCTGAGTTGTTGCTAAACGTGGAGAGGCTGTACTGTATATTTTACAATCTTTCTTGCCTTTTAATGCCTAGTTCTATTTTTAATACACTAAAAACGTTATAAATGGTACAAATGTGACCCTAAAACAATATGTAAAGATGACTGACATAAACCTACTACCAGAAGAGTAAGCTTGAAATATCAGAAAGGGTCAGCTCCAAGCTTAATGGCCAATTCACTTACCAACCTATACTTAAGAACCTAACTCGGTTGTTAAGTGAGGAGTACCTGTACTTTCATTAAAATGCTAATTGTAATTAAGTGCCAAAATTATTAGTATGTGACTCCAGCCTGTGTTTAATGCAGCCAAGTGTGCAAAAAATTTCATTTGGGTTGGTTCCCACACAGAAAATTCTCCTCCGCTTCGTGAAGGAAAATTCTCCTCCACCTTGTGAAGAAAAATAATCCTCCGCTTCACGAAGGAAAATTCTCATCCGCTTTGTGAAGGAAAATTCACCTCCGCTTCGTGAAGGAAAATTCCCCTTCATGTGTAGGCCTCTCCACTGCTTTAGGGAGACCTACCTTCATTACCCCACCCCCCCATTTACACCTATAGACCACCCACGTGATCAGTTTGTGCATACGTCTCTCTCTCTCTCTCTCTCAAGGCCCCCAATGGAAATAAGTCAAGTACCCAAATGGTAATAAGTCAAGGATCCCCAATATTGGGAAATATATCACTGACTTTTCTGGGCTGTCCTGGTGGGAAATTTACACTATGTTATTATGCAATACAAGCAAACAAGTGATATCAGAACATGCAAAACAACCACTGTGAAAAAATAGTGTAGCTGTACATAAATAAACTTACTGATGATGGTTTCACGACTTGAAAAGACCCCATAATGTTCATCAGTAACTAACACCCAGGTATCTATTTACTGCTAGGTGAACAGTGACAGTAGGTGTACGGTAACTAACACCCAGGTACCTACTTACTGCTAGGTGAACGGTGACAGTAGGTGTACGGTAACTAACACCCAGGTACCTACTTACTGCTAGGTGAACGGTGACAGTAGGTGTACGGTAACTAACACCCAGGTACCTACTTACTGCTAGGTGAACAGTGACAGCAGGTGTAAGGTAACTAACACCCAGGACTATTTACTGCTAGGTGAACAGTGACAGCAGGTGTAAGGTAACTAACACCCAGGTACCTACTTACTGCTAGGTGAACAGTGACAGCAGGTGTAAGGTAACTAACACCAGGTACCTACTTACTGCTAGGTGAACAGTGACAGCAGGTGTAAGGTGACTAACACCCAGGTACCTACTTACTGCTAGGTGAACAGTGACAGCAGGTGTAAGGTAACTAACACCCAGGTACCTACTTACTGCTAGGTGAACAGTGACAGTAGGTGTAAGGTAACTAACACCCAGGTACCTACTTACTGCTGGGTGAACAGTGACAGCAGGTGTAAGGTAACTAACACCCAGGTACCTACTTACTGCTAGGTGAACAGTGACAGCAGGTGTAAGGTAACTAACACCCAGGTACCTACTTACTGCTAGGTGAACAGTGACAGAATATGTAAGGTAACTAACACCCAGGTACCTACTTACTGCTAGGTGAACAGTGACAGCAGGTGTAAGGTAACTAACACCCAGGAACCTACTTACTACTAGGTGAACAGTGACAGCAGGTGTAAGGTAACTAACACCTAGGTACCTACTTACTGCTGGGTGAACAGTGACAGCAGGTGTAAGGTAACTAACACCCAGGTACCTACTTACTACTAGGTGAACAGTGACAGCAGGTGTAAGGTAACTAACACCTAGGTACCTACTTACTGCTGGGTGAACAGTGACAGCAGGTATAAGGTAACTAACACCCAGGTACCTACTTACTGCTAGGTGAAGTGACAGCAGGTGTAAGGTAACTAACACCCAGGTACCTACTTACTGCTAGGTGAACAGTGACAGCAGGTGTAAGGTAACTAACACTCAGGTACCTACTTACTGCTAGGTGAACAGTGACAGCAGGTGTAAGGTAACTAACACCCAGGTACCTACTTACTGCTAGTGAACTGACAAAGTGTAAGGTAACTAACACCTAGTGTACCTACTTACTGCTAGGTGAACAGTGACAGCAGGTGTAAGTTGACTAACACCCAGGTACCTATTACTGCTAGTGTGAACAGTGACAGAGGTGTAAGGTAACTAACACCCAGGTACCTAACTTATCTGCTAGGTGACCACGTGACAGCAGTGGTAAGGTAAACTAACACACCAGGTACCTACTTACTGCAGGTGAACAGTGACAGCAGGTGTAAGGTAACTAACCCCAGGTACCTTCTTACTGCTAGGTGAACAGTGACAGCATGTGTAAGGTAAACTAACACCCAGTACCTACTTACTGCTAGGTGAACAGTGACAGCAGGTGTAAGGTAACTAACACCCAGGTACCTACTTACTGCTAGGTGAACAGTGACAGCAGGTGTAAGGTACTAACACCCAGGTACCTACTTACTGCTAGGTGAACAGTGGACAGCAGGTGTAAGGTGCTAACACCCAGGTACCTACTTACTGCATAGGTGAACAGTGACAGCAGGTGTAAGGTGACTAACACCAGGTACCTACTTATGCTAGGTAACAGTGCCACAGGTGTAAGGTAACTAACACCCAGAACCTACTTACTGCTAGGTGAACAGGACAGCAGTGTAAGGTGACTAACACCTAGGTACTACTTACTGCTAGGTGAACAGTGACAGCAGGTGTAAGGTAACTAACACCCAGGTACCTACTTACTGCTAGGTGAACACTGACAGCAGGTGTAAAGTGACTAACACCCAGGTACCTACTTACTGCTAGGTGAACAGTGACAGCAGGTGTAAGGTAACTAACACCCAGGTACCTACTTACTGCTAGGTGAAGTGACAGCAGGTGTAAGGTAACTAACACCCAGGTACCTACTTACTGCTAGGTGAACAGTGACAGCAGGTGTAAGGTGACTAACACCTAGGTACCTACTTACTGCTAGGTGAACAGTGACAGCAGGTGTAAGGTAACTAACACCAGGTACCTACTTACTGCTAGGTGAACAGTGACAGCAGGTGTAAGGTAACTAACACCCAGGTACCTACTTACTGCTAGGTGAACAGTGACAGCAGGTGTAAGGTGACTAACACCTAGGTACCTACTTACTGCTAGGTGAACAGTGACAGCAGGTGTAAGGTAACTAACACCCAGGTACCTACTTACTGCTAGGTGAACAGTGACAGCAGGTGTAAGGTAACTAACACCCAGGTACCTACTTACTGCTAGGTGAACAGTGACAGCAGGTGTAAGGTAACTAACACCAGGTACTACTTACTGCTAGGTGAACAGTGACAGCAGTGTAAGGTAACTAACATCCAGGTACCTACTTACTACTAGGTGAACAGTGACAGCAGGTGTAAGGTAACTAACACCCAGGTACCTACTTACTGCTAGGTGAACAGTGACAGCAGGTGTAAGGTAACTAACACCCAGGTACCTACTTACTGCTAGGTGAACAGTGACAGCAGGTGTAAAGTGACTAACACCCAGGTAGCTACTTACTGCTAGGTGAACAGTGACAGCAGGTGTAAGGTAACTAACACCCAGGTACCTACTTACTGCTAGGTGAAGTGACAGCAGGTGTAAGGTAACTAACACTCAGGTACCTACTTACTGCTAGGTGAACAGTGACAGCAGGTGTAAGGTGACTAACACCTAGGTACCTACTTACTGCTAGGTGAACAGTGACAGCAGGTGTAAGGTAACTAACACCCAGGTACCTACTTACTGCTAGGTGAACAGTGACAGCAGGTGTAAGGTAACTAACACCCAGGTACCTACTTACTGCTAGGTGAACAGTGACAGCAGGTGTAAGGTGACTAACACCTAGGTACCTACTTACTGCTAGGTGAACAGTGACAGCAGGTGTAAGGTAACTAACACCCAGGTACCTACTTACTGCTAGGTGAACAGTGACAGCAGGTGTAAGGTAACTAACACCCAGGTACCTACTTACTGCTAGGTGAACAGTGACAGCAGGTGTAAGGTAACTAACACCCAGGTACCTACTTACTGCTAGGTGAACAGTGACAGCAGGTGTAAGGTAACTAACACCCAGGTACCTACTTACTACTAGGTGAACAGTGACAGCAGGTGTAAGGTAACTAACACCCAGGTACCTACTTACTGCTAGGTGAACAGTGACAGCAGGTGTAAGGTAACTAACACCCAGGTACCTACTTACTACTAGGTGAACAGTGACAGCAGGTGTAAGGTAACTAACACCCAGGTACCTACTTACTGCTAGGTGAACAGTGACAGCATGTGTAAGGTAACTAACACCCAGGTACCTACTTACTGCTAGGTGAACAGTGACAGCAGGTGTAAGGTAACTAACACCAGGTACCTACTTACTGCTAGGTGAACAGTGACAGCAGGTGTAAGGTAACTAACACCCAGGTACCTACTTACTGCTAGGTGAACAGTGACAGCAGGTGTAAGGTGACTAACACCCAGGTACCTACTTACTGCTAGGTGAACAGTGATAGCAGGTGTAAGGTAACTAACACCCAGGTATCTACTTACTGCTAGGTGAACAGTGCCACAGGTGTAAGGTAACTAACACCCAGGTACCTACTTACTGCTAGGTGAACAGTGACAGCAGGTATAAGGTGACTAACACCTAGGTACCTACTTACTGCTAGGTGAACAGTGACAGCAGGTGTAAGGTAACTAACACCTAGGTACCTACTTACTGCTAGGTGAACAGTGACAGCAGGTGTAAGGTAACTAACACCCAGGTACCTACTTACTGCTAGGTGAACAGTGACAGCAGGTGTAAGGTAACTAACACCCAGGTACCTACTTACTGCTAGGTGAACAGTGACAGCAGGTGTAAGGTAACTAACACCCAGGTACCTACTTACTGCTAGGTGAACAGTGACAGCAGGTGTAAGGTAACTAACACCTAGGTACCTACTTACTGCTAGGTGAACAGTGACAGCAGGTGTAAGGTAACTAACACCTAGGTACCTACTTACTGCTAGGTGAACAGTGACAGCAGGTGTAAGGTAACTAACACCCAGGTACCTACTTACTGCTAGGTGAACAGTGACAGCAGGTGTAAGGGATCTATGCCTTTATGCCTGAGGGCTCTTGATCCAAGGAACCAGATTCTCCTTGGATCAAACCTAATTACCTCCCATTCCTGTAAACGCTGTTACCCCTACGGGTTTAGAGCTTCCCCATAATTAAAATAAGCCTCCAGGTTACAATGGAAAGACCCGGGATCAATCCTGTTCCTTGGATCAAGAGCCATTACAGGCATAGAGGTCAGTGTTAGGTGTAAAGCAGCTCCACTTCCTCGGATCAGGAGCCCTAACCTTGAGGGGAAGCACCTATAAAGTCACCTAATTAACACATTGAAGGGTAAATCCGATTCCTTGGATCAAGAGCTCTTCGTTGGTTTCTAGACACCTCCCTAGAAAGGGTAACACAGATCCACTTCCTCGGATCAGGAGACACCAGCTACGGAAGCACCTACGTAGGAACGGCACCTAATTAACACAGTTCCTTGGATCAAGAGCCTCTCACAGGCATCAAATCACCTCCCTAGATGAATTAAACCACCTCCACTTCCTCGGATCAGAAGCCTTTCACCAGGGAAGCACATAGCTAGCAGCGTCACCTAATTAACGCCTAATTTACCCAACCTACACCTAATTTCCCTTATTTCTGACACTGGTCTTAGCAACACTCACATATTAGGACCACATAAAGTGTATATTACATAATACTTGACCTCAGGTAGAACAATGAAGTCGAAATTAAGCCAAACAACACGAGAGTCTGACCTTAAGAGCAAAACACAAACAAAACCCAGCTGATCCAGCAGCCAGGGAGCACTAATATAAAGTTTACTAGTAGTACTAGTAGTAGTACTAGTAGTACTGGTACTAGTAGTAGTACTAGTAGTACTAGTACTAGTAGTACTAGTATTATTATTATTATTATTATTATTATCACTGATGGTTGATCCAGCAGCCAGGGAGCACTAATATAAAGTTTACTAGTACTACTAGTACTAGTAGTACTGGTACTAGTAGTAGTACTAGTAGTGTTATTATTATTATTATCACTGATGGGTGATCCAGCAGCCAGGGAGCACTAATATAAAGTTTACTACAAGTACTAGTAGTAGTACTAGTACTAGTAGTACTGGTACTAGTAGTAGTACTAGTAGTGCTATTATTATTATTATTACTGATGGTTGATCCAGCAGCCAGGGAGCACTAATATAAAGTTTACTAGTAGTACTAGTAGTAGTACTAGTACTAGTAGTACTAGTAGTACTAGTAGTGTTATTATTATTATTATTAGTTGATCCAGCAGCCAGGGAGCACTAATATAAAGTTTACTAGTAGTACTAGTAGTAGTACTAGTACTAGTAGTACTAGTAGTACTAGTAGTGTTATTATTATTATTATTAGTTGATCCAGCAGCCAGGGAGCACTAATATAAAGTTACTAGTATTATTATTATTATCATTATTATTACTATTATTATTAAGAGGTGATCCAGCCAGCCAGGGAGTAGTAAGATAGTAATAAGTAGTAAGATAGCTGGAGAGAGGAAACAGAGAAGCAAGAGACTACATAATAGGAACACTTAATTCTAGTGGACCCAAGGTGGTAATTGCAGTGATGTATGACCCACCACAGAACAGCAGGAGGCCAAGACAAGAATATGATGAAACAGAGCAATGATTGACACACTGGCTGAAGTGGCCAGAAGGGCCCATATGGGCAGAGCAAAGCTACTGGTTCTGGGTGACTTCAACCACAATGAAATCGACTAGGAAAATCTGGAGCCACATGGGGGCTGGCACTGGAAAACCTCATGCATCAGCACGTTAGGGACACTACCAGAGAGAGAGAAGACGAACCAGCAAGACTGGACGTAGTATTCACCTTAAGTAGTGCAGATATTGAAGACATCACATATAAAAGGCCACTCACAGCTAGTGATCACGTGGTTCTGAATTTCAAATACATAGTAGAGTTACTAGTTGAGAGGGAAGCAGGAAAGGCAGAGTAGAGGAAGCCAAACTACAAGAGAAGGGGCTACACAGGCTTGAAGAATTTCCTCCATGAGGTTCAGTGGGACAGAGAACTGGCAGGGAAATCAGTAAATAAGATGATGGATTGTGTGACAACAATATGCAAGGCAGCAGAGGAGAGGTTTGTACCCAAGGGTAACAGAAATAATGAGAAAGCCGAGACAAGTCCTTCGTTCACCCAGAGGTGTAGAGAGGCCAAAACTAGTGAATGGAATAAGTATAGGAGGAAAAGGACCCAAAAGAATGAGAGTAGTCGAAGGGATAGAAATGAATATGCACAGGTATGGAGGGAAGCCCAACAACAATACGAAAATGACATAGCAGAGAAAGCTAGGTCTCACCCAAAGCTGTTGTGCAGTCACATCAGGAGGGAAAAACAGTCAAGGACCAGGTAATCAGGTTGAGGAAAGAAGGAGGCGAGATCACAAGAAATGACCGAGAGGTGAAGACAGTGGAGACAGAAAGGACTCCTGAAACACGGAGAGGTGGGGTACACCACCCAGTGCTAGACACAATACATACAACCAAGGAAGAGGTGAGGAGGCTGCTAAGTGAACTAGATTCCTCAAAGGCGATTGGGCCAGATAACGTCTCTCTGTGGGTCCTGACAGAGGGAGCAGAGGAGCTCTGTGTACCACTAACAACAATCAACACATCTATCGAAACATGGCAGCTCCTTGAGCTATGGAAGACAGCAAATGTAGTCCTAGTTTTTAAAAAGAGACAGACATGCACCACTAACCTACAGACCAGTATCACTGACAAGCATAGTAAGTAAAGTCATGGAGAAGATTATCAGGAGAAGAGCGATGGAGCACAGAAAGAAATGAGCTAAGCAATGACAACCAGCATGGATTCAGGGACGGGAAAATCTGCATCACAAACCCACTGTAGTTCTTAGACAAGGTGACAGCAGTAAGACAAGAGAAAGAGGGGTGGGTAGACTGCATTTTCTTTGACTGCAAAAAGGCTTTTGACATAGTTCCACACAAGAGATAGCGCAAAAGCTGAAAGACCAGGCAGGTATAAAAGGGAAGGTACTGTAATGGATAAAAAAATACCTGACAAGAAGGCAGCAGCAAATCATGGTATGTGACGAGGTTTCAGAGAGGGTGCCTGTGATGAGCGGGGTTCCACAGGGGTCAGTCCTAGGGCTGGTGGTGTTTCTGGTATATATTGTGAATAACATGATGGAAGGAATAGACTCAGAAGTGTCTCTGTTTGTACACGATGCTAAGTTAATAAGGAGAATTCAATCGGAGGAGGACCAGGCAAGACTACAAAGGGAACTGGACAGGCTGCAGGCCTGCTCCAGCAAATGGCCCAAATGGAAATAAAGGACCCCAGTGGAAATAAGTCACTCTGTCTGACTTTTTTGGGTTATCCCAGGTTCTTTACACATATGCTGCTATGTATGATAATCTATATAACTGTATTTGTGTATACCTGAAAAAACTTACTCCTGGAGTTCAACCCCACAAATCAAAATCGAGAACAACGCCCAGTATTGGGCCCCTACTTAAACAAGATGGGTCCTACACAGATGACAGCAAGGAAATGAGTGAGCTACTCAAGTCCCAATATGACTCAGTTTTTAGCAAGCCGCTAACCAGACTGAGAGTCGAAGACCAAAATGAATTTTTTATGAGAGAGCCACAAAATTTGACTAACACAAGCCTATCCGATGTTATCCTGACGCCAAATGACTTCGAACAGGCGATAAATGACATGCCCATGCACTCTGCCCCAGGGCCAGACTCATGGAACTCTGTGTTCATCAAGAACTGCAAGAAGCCCCTATCACGAGCCTTTTCCATCCTATGGAGAGGGAGCATGGACACGGGGGTCGTCCCTCAGTTACTAAAAACAACAGACATAGCCCCACTCCACAAAGGGGGCAGTAAAGCAACAGCAAAGAACTACAGACCAATAGCACTAACATCCCATATCATAAAAATCTTTGAAAGGGTCCTAAGAAGCAAGATCACCACCCATCTAGAAACCCATCAGTTACACAACCCAGGGCAACATGGGTTTAGAAACAGGTCGCTCCTGTCTGTCTCAACTACTGGATCACTACGACAAGGTCCTAAATGCACTAGAAGACAAAAAGAATGCAGATGTAATATATACAGACTTGCAAAAGCCTTCGACAAGTGTGACCATGGCGTAATAGCGCACAAAATGCGCGCTAAAGGAATAACAGGAAAAGTCGGTCGATGGATCTATAATTTCCTCACTAACAGAACACAGAGAGTAGTCGTCAACAGAGTAAAGTCCGAGGCAGCTACGGTGACAAGCTCTGTCCCACAAGGCACAGTACTAGCTCCCATCTTGTTCCTCATCCTCATATCCGACATAGACAAGGATGTCAGCCACAGCACCGTGTCTTCCTTTGCAGATGACACCCGAATCTGCATGACAGTGTCTTCCATTGCAGACACTGCAAGGCTCCAGGCGGACATCAACCAAATCTTTCAGTGGGCTGCAGAAAACAATATGAAGTTCAACGATGAGAAATTTCAATTACTCAGATATGGTAAACATGAGGAAATTAAATCTTCATCAGAGTACAAAACAAATTCTGGCCACAAAATAGAGCGAAACACCAACGTCAAAGACCTAGGAGTGATTATGTCGGAGGATCTCACCTTCAAGGACCATAACATTGTATCAATCGCATCTGCTAGAAAAAATGACAGGATGGATAATGAGAACCTTCAAAACTAGGGAGGCCAAGCCCATGATGACACTCTTCAGGTCACTTGTTCTATCTAGGCTGGAATATTGCTGCACTCTAACAGCACCTTTCAAGGCAGGTGAAATTGCCGACCTAGAAAATGTACAGAGAACTTTCACGGCGCGCATAACGGAGATAAAACACCTCAATTACTGGGAGCGCTTGAGGTTTCTAAACCTGTATTCCCTGGAACGCAGGAGGGAGAGATACATGATTATATACACCTGGAAAATCCTAGAGGGACTAGTACCAAACTTGCACACGAAAATCACTCACTACGAAAGCAAAAGACTTGGCAGACGATGCACCATCCCCCCAATGAAAAGCAGGGGTGTCACTAGCACGTTAAGAGACCATACAATAAGTGTCAGGGGCCCGAGACTGTTCAACTGCCTCCCAGCACACATAAGGGGGATTACCAACAGACCCCTGGCAGTCTTCAAGCTGGCACTGGACAAGCACCTAAAGACAGTTCCTGATCAGCCGGGCTGTGGCTCGTACGTTGGTTTGCGTGCAGCCAGCAGCAACAGCCTGGTTGATCAGGCGCTGATCCACCAGGAGGCCTGGTCACAGACCGGGCCGCGGGGGCGTTGACCCCCGAAACTCTCTCCAGGTAAACTCCAGGTAAACTCCACCCAGTTCAAAGTCATGAAGATCGGGGAAGGACAAAGAAGGCCGCATACAGAATACAGTCTAGGGGGCCAAAGGCTACAAACCTCATTCAAGGAAAAGGATCTTGGGGTGAGTATAATGCTAAACATATCTCCTGAGGTGCACATCAACCAAATAACTGTTGCGGCATACGAGCGACTAGCAAACCTAAGAACAGCATTCCGACATCTCAGTAAGAAGTCGATCAGGACTCTGTACACCGTGTACATCAGGCTCATATTGGAGTACGCAGAACCAGTTTGGAACCCACACTGGCCAAGCACGTCAGGAAATTAGAGGAAGTGCAAAGGTTTGCAACGAGGCTAGTCCCGGAGTAAAGAGGCAGAGGAGAGATTAAGGGAAATTAACCTGACGAGACTGGAGAACAGGAGGGGCAGGGGAGACACGATAACAACATATAAAATACTGAGAGGAATGAGACAAGGTG